ACAATTCATTCCTCCTTTTTCTCGACACAGTAGTGATCGGGCCGTTGTCTCTCCCGCTTGCCTTTCACGGATGCTTACCGTTATACGCTCTCGCATTATTAGCGTAATCATAGCGCAGCTCGACGCCGGGAGCGCGGTCTACATTTTCTCAATGTATAATCAATGATTCTTATTATTTCCCCCACTTGTTACGGATGATCCTTTTCTCCGTTTCTGCCGCTCTCGTAATTTCAGCCGCTCTCATGTTCCGACGGTATCGTCTAGAAGCCGAACGATTTACAATTTGCGCGCGTGTGGTTTTAGCAAATATTTATATGAAACGAGACACAGTTTATTCGCGTTGCGTTTTGCATTCGCTCATTTCAACCATACTCGCGTTTCTCAGATAGCGAGCTATTTCTGAATTTGCAATTTTTGCTTTCGAATTTTCGCAGACTTGTTAAATCCATTTTAAATCCGAGGAATGGGTATAACGAATAAACCGATGAGACACGAGGAGAAAGTCTTTCCGCGGACTTTCAATGCGCCCATTGCACGCAGGCCTCTTGTTGCATCCCATACCTTCGGCATCCTCTCGGCCTCTCCTCGCTTGTCTTTCCTCATTGGCTTGCAGCACGGCGGATCTCTCCGCCGCCTCCGGAGGAAGAAAAACCTGACCTATCGTACGTTGTCCTCTTCTCTCTTTCTCTCCCTCTCCGCCGTTCGCTAACGCCGGTCTAACGCCGCCCTGAAGTCAATCCTTTCACTGCCACGCGAACGGCAACTTAACGATGTCATTTCGGGCCAACGACCGCTGATGCGGTTCGAGCTACGGTCGGGCTCGAGTTCGTCCTCGATGCGACTATGAAAGATGTACGCTTATAATAATCAAAATTATAAAAAGATCTGTGAACATTATTTAAGCAGCAAAATTGATCATTGATGAACGGTGACTCGAAATCGACGACTCATCGTGAAACTTCTTGAACAAAGATGGGAAGGATTACGACGATGTAGAAAGGATGAGAGCGCAGGACCAAATTTATTGGCAATGATTGCACGGACCATTGGCGTCTTCAGGCGTTGCCACCGTGTGTACCTTCCTTCTTTTTTTTTCCTCTTTTTAATCGCGCGCGAGAGCGTGCTTCTGGAATTATTTATAAACCGGTTTTGTTTCCGAAGTCGTGTATCCCTAGACGGAAATGCCAATAACTCTCCTGGCTTCCGCGCATAAAAAATGACGAGCAGGAACAAGCCCCGCGAGGTTATCGCGAATCTCTGTAATATCTTATTCATATACTTATCATTATACTGCTCGTTGACGTGTTATCGGGACCTTTTCATCGCGGTAAATTGTTGATTTCGCGGCAAGGTATCGCTTAAAATAAAATAAAAAATCTCAAGTCTCTCATCTCGAATCCTCGGATTTCATCTTGGATCTTCTTTTCTTTTTCTCCTATTTCGAATCAACTCTCCTCTCTCGATTTGTATCTTTACCTTCTTCCCAATTCTTCGCTTCCTGCTGTATCAGCAGTTTTCGGTCGTCGGATTTTGTAAGAAGTATTTTGATGAATTACAAAATTGTATGATATTTTTTATACTTTTGATAAATTTAATTAAAAGAAACTGATACCTATTTAAATATATAATTTAATTATTTTATTTAGCTGACGCAATTACTATTGTTTTTATCGCCGTGATAATTAATATGATAAAGAATACAATAACAATTATAATGAGCGGGTATAATTGTGAAAAATATAAAATTCATACCAGTGCACGATTATCGTCGACTAAATAACCGCTAAAATAACAGGACAAACGATGAAGGAGTTTCTTCGATTATATCCTACTTTCTTTTTACATTCGAGTAGCGGCCATCCAGCTACTCGAGAGATCAACGTGCGCAATATATGCTGACATCGACTTGAGATATGCAAATCATAAAGTGCTTGCCAATGTCTCAGCATGATTTTGCAATGGAAATCGAATACATCTCCATTGCGAATTGCTGTACTCGAAGTTACAACAGTCTTGAAGTAAATGCTTCAAGAAATAAGTAATTTACGTTATAAGTAGTATTGTTATATTATATTCCGTTACTGAAATAATAATTATAATGATTAAGAATAAGAATTAGTTCTCAAGTTACACACGGGTAAGAAATATATCATTAATTTTAAATTATCTTAACTATATCTTTTCGTTAACGTTTTAGAATAGCGTGACCGAAACGGTGCCTAAAAATGGACTTCGGACTCTTACCATTCTCACCTTAATCGCCAACCCGCCTCCGTCTGACATTGCTATTAATTTGCTCGTGTTTTGACGTGTACTTTTATCTCCTACGTGTAGAGACACAATCCTCAAAAGATTACAGCGCACGATCGATCACGGAACGTGACGGGCGCGTCTGATATGCACATGACAACGGTTTACACGTGTCAGAATTACGGGCGCGCGTTCATCAAAAGAAGCGGTGTGAAGCTGTATTTGCGGGTAGACAATGCAAATCTTACGTGGGCAATTTGCCCGTAAAAATACGGGAAGATATCACCGGATTTTCCCGTGTTCTTCCGCTCTCTTTCTCTCTCTCTCTCTTCTCTCTCCTTCCTCTGTGTCTACTCTTCCATATTTTCACATATTCTTTACGCTTGACGTGTTACGCACGTTTGTTTATTTTCAGTTAAGTACCGTGGGCTATTCTGTAGTCGGGCATTGTTTAACTAATATCTTTCTACCTTTTCATCCTTCTCCCATTCACTTTCGCCCATAATTCCATGGTTAGCTGGATAATAGTTACGTAACTGTTAACGCAGCCCCGCTCTCCCGCGGTACATAGTGCAACCGAGCTAATCGTCAAATATTTGCTGAGCCGTATTGCAACGGTCCCGCCGCTATCTCGCTCTGCGTCTCTTACACATGCTCCTCCTCCTCCTGCTCTTCTCCCCCTTGTCTTATCCATCTGTTTGTGCACGCGTGACGAATGCTTGCGCAGCAGCAGCGGCAGACCTGCGGAGTCCCTGACCAACCGCACCCTTCCTCTGAACGCGGCACGAACAAACGAGAGGAATGCCTTTCGATCTCGAGAGATGTGCCGCATAATGATTTTTTTCAGAGAAGAAATAATAACAAATAATTATTCTATTCTACATTGATACGTATAAATAAGGCGAGATTTTGATTTTAATAATTAATAGATATGATCGCATATATTTACGCAACGATTAAATAATTGTTTTCGTACAACATAAAGTGTTAGACTAAAGTATTAAAAGAATATTCAGGTAATTCACGGAAATACGTGCACATGCATAACACTTGCTATTAATAGAAGGTTCACAACATGACAGGAAACGTAGCGCGATTATACAAGGTGATTTTTGAAAATCGACCGGTCGATGGTTCACGGTTGGCCGCTTATCATACAGGTGCCGATAAGCGGATAAAGGTCAGAGAGTAGAATAACGTGGATGGTACCTTCTGCGATAATATGCGCCGAGTTAAATATAAAAGCGCTGTGACACCGACTGCGCGTGAAATTGTTAGACATCGGGGCGTCGCGCACACATCTCGTTATCCACGCTAATCCGCTGTTCCTCTGTTAACGTTGGTAATTTTATTTAATTACTGAGGTCTGCGATGCAGCTCGAAGCAGTGCGTGTCTCGCATTATTGGAAGCAAGGAAGTATATTATATAAAAATACATAAATATAAAAATATTAAAGAAGGACTGTACATCTTTAGATATAAAATACACGGAAAGGACAATTTTATTGAAGTATTTAAAAATTTTTTTACTAGATGCAGATCTGAAAATATTTTTTAACAAATCCTCTTATATTTGATAAGAGTCCCTTGTTTATTTTTGCTTTATTAGAAAATATTTTTCTTGGACTATCAAAATAATTATGTAGAAGTTGATTGCTAGAATGTCAAAACTTTTCTGCAGCATTATTCATCAAACTTGAGATTCTTACATAATTACATTCTTCACGATTTAATGAAATTATTTTCAGATCCGTATCTAGCTGAATTTTTAGACACTTCAGCAAAATCGTTCTTTCCTTGTAGTATATTTCTTCGCTATTTCTATTTCTGCTAATAATCATATTCGATATGTATGTGTATATAATTGAGATATATTTTAGGAAATTAAGATGAGAGTATAATTTTTTATTTGTATAAAACGTCGTGAGACGAAAAGACTTGCTTTCCGTATGTGCGATTAGATACAACCTTGACGCATTCCGTTTAAATAATGTCGAACGCACCCACATCCATGAATATTTACTACCGGAAATCACTCGACAAACGCGACTTTCCCGGTCTCCACTGCAGGCAAATAATGGTGACTCCGCGATAAGAGCTGTCGTCGCTGCGCAGTGCTTCCTGTGCGATGTGCCGGCATGCCGCCGTAAAAATTGTCCCGCCGTTATAATAAATTGCCCCCGCGATTCCCGGCGACGTCGCGAAAGAAAGTTTTCTGCTGAATCCGATGAAGACTCTTATAGGAAGTCTCGACGGAACGAGAGAGTCTACTGGGAAAGGTATCTCGCGACGGTTTTTGCTTGCGGGCAACTCGTAGATACGCTTATACTACTTTGTTCGCGTTGCTTCCCACGGGAAGATCGCTCGGTTCATCTACAATCATTACAGTTATTGTGGCCATACTGATTAATTAATTATTACATCAATGGTTTTATAATAATTGAAAACATAGCTAGTAATTAGTATTTGTTCTTATTATTCATTTAATACACAATAACTGAGAACAAACAACCATTATATTACATCTTCATTAACCGTGGGCCATAAACGTATTATTAAGGGAAGTTAAATTACCAATAGTTACACAACTCGCGTTTGTAGCGTAAATGTTGCAATGCGGGAAGAAAGATAGTAATTTCTCGTAATTAGCTTTTCTATTTTGAACGCTTCAGTTGCCTTTTGCGTGAATAATTTTAGGCTGAATACCTTCGAGCAAAATTTTAATAAGCGTGTCATTATTTTTGTTACAGGACAATGAACAACTAATCACACTCGCGCACTTGTCGGATTATAACGTCTACAGGATACCGAACGCCAAGCGGGTTTTCGGCGCACCCTTCGAGTGGGGCGCCTGCCTGAGGCCGAACAGCAACGCCGAAGCCGAAGATACGGAGGCTGGGGAGCCCGGGATCAAGGTCATTATTTTCGAGAACGAAAAATCGCGCACCTGCTGGCTCACAGCCATGAGACTCGCTAAGGTAAGAATGTGATTTCTTTTCCTTGCTCCATTCTCGTTTTCTATTCGAAGAAAATACAACTTGTAGTACGGCGATTCGAGTGTCTCGTGAGTAGTTTGGGGTGGAAGCCCATTAACCCCAAACTGGATGAGCTATTTGAACGAAATTGTTGTTCGTCCAAACGGAAATGTTAGTTTATTACGTCAAGTGTACTCTCGGTAATGTCGATTAGGGTTACAACAAATGTCGGCAGATTCGCGTGGAAAGTGTATAATCAAGAATTAATAATACGGAGGGTATATAAATGACCATGCCAGCTTTAGTAAATAACCGCCACAATGTAAGGGGAAAGCTAATATCAACTGGAGAAATAGGTACTTAAATTTGCGGTGAGGATAATAACGCTTACAAAGTATCGCTGCAATATTTCGTTTCCCAGCCGATTCCGCGTCTTCTTATTCGACTCTTCCTTTACAATGTGATCATCCCTCTGCGGACGGGCCGTGGGTATCATTAGGTCCGTGATGGAGCCGGGTATAATGAGCCTTATTTTCTTTCCGTTCCTCCCCATTTCTACCGCGCCTGCGTTCGCGTCGACGTCGAATGTCGAAACTTTTTCGTGAAGTTCAAAGAAGTTGCGTGACTCGCGCACGGTTCGTGTTTAACGGAGAAAGAAGAACACTTCACTTTTGTCGACGTACGTACACACTATATCACGCAGCTTCAGCACGTTTTGTATAGCTACATTTTTTTCTTCTTTTAGAGTAGTCGTGGCACTGACACGATGCATTTTTCTTGTTTCCCCCTCCTTTTTTTTTGACAAAAATTGAGACACCGAGACTTTTTTCCCATCATCGTTGATAATAATATCAGTTTATATTCGAGCGTAGACAGTCTTTGTCTTTTCTTTTTCTTTTTTTCTCTCTCTCTCTTTCACTTTAGTTGAAGTGTTCGTTGAGAAGAATAACTTGTGGATGGTAACGGTGTTCGCTAGCAACGCGCGATTGGCAGTTCCGCCGAAGGAAAAGAGAGAGAAAGAGAGAGAGAGAGACTTTAAAATACGGCCGCCTACTCCTTATTACGCTACTCTTTACGGGCCTATTCTTCCTCAGGCTGAAGTGGCTGCTCAGACCGCCTCTCCAGTCCGGCTGGTCTCCAGGAAGTAAAGCTCGGGCATGGCATATTATCATCGTTCCATCGTTCGTAGAATGATAACCATGCTTGCGAAGCAAATTAAGAATTAAAAAAGTAATATTTATTAATGTACAAATAGCCTTTCTTTCGGGAGCTGTAAATTTGAAATTAAACTGGAATAATTTAAGCGATGTATTTACGGGGAAAAACAGAATTTTAAATGGCATATTTACGCTTTACGCCAAAGTTTCCTAACAATTTTCATTGAATTTAATTTCCAGATTTAATTAGTTTAATTCTCGCTCTTGTGTGTGTGGTCTCGACGATTTTATTTAATTTACACAATTGCTGTGTCTCTCACAAGCGTTTCTTTCGCTGCCTATTATCATCATGACTTATGTTCATTCCGAATAACGCTCGTGCTGGGTCGGATAGCAAATTCATCTGCCACGGGATGTAATTTGGAGACCTTGCACCAGAGAATCGTAACCCAACCTGTGTCGGTGCATCCTCGAGAGTCCCCCGAGCCATACGTCTGTACTACCGTGGCCGCCGGCGGGCAAACAGGCCAGACTTGCCTAGTGTTTATCGGCCTCGTTGGTCGTCCATGCCTGTCTGCGTCTCTTGTCAGCCTATCTACCTACCTAGCCGCTCTGGATTTACTATGTGCTCTTCTCTTTTCTCCGGCTCTCGCCGTCTCTCGCTTAGCTCCGTCGTTCACCGTCATTTCTCTCTCTCTTTCTCTCTCTCGCTTGCTCTGTTTCTCAGCTCCACCTTCTATCCGAAGGGAAAAGGACGAGACGTCGTCTTGGTCGGTAACGGCACTAAGGTAGTACTTACGCGTGTCTCAGTGAGGCCTTTGTAACTCTTTCATCCGAGAAAAAGCTAGGAGTCTGATGAGATGCGGCGAACGAGAAGAGTTGGAAAGGCGGAAGGGTAAGGGAGAGAGAGAGATAGAGAGAGAGAGAAAGAGATGGAGAGGGAGAAAGAAGAGAACAAATGAACGGGTAGGCTTGGAGAAATCTGCAGGATTCGCTTTGATCGAGAAGACATTGACACTCCCGTACCCTTTTGTGCTCCCTTTGTTTCTACGTCATTCTTCTCCCTCGTCTCGTTTCCTCATCGTATTTCAATCTTCGCAGACTTTGATTCACTTCACTAGAAATCTGCGAAGTCGAACAATAAGTATAGGGCTCGGATTAGTCTTTGTTAATTTGCGAGGGATGGAGTCCAAGATAGAAGATGTCACCGTAACTTCAGTATTCTTATTTGTGTGAAAGTTTGAACACGTTTATAAAATTAATGTTATCTGTATTTAAGTCCAACATGACGAAAGTAATTAAAATAGAAAACATGTCGATAGATTTATTAATATAGATATCAAAATAATGGATTAGAATGAATAGAAGGCCCTCGCGCGTAACCCGTCGGATGAATTCAGGACCAGGTTCCTTGCGAGACGATAAGTCGATATAGCGATTACAAAAAATATGATTTATGATATTTATGATTGCCGCTGCCAATCATAAATAAAATATTGTTATTTGACATTAAGTCACGGTTGTTGCCCGTCTAAGAGAAATGATAACGATAATGAGAAAGTGAATAGATCAGATCGTAGCAATAAGAGCCACGGATAAAGTTAAGTCGCATATAATACCGGGTCGCTTTCTATCTACTCGATTACACGTATCTCTGTCCATATGTAGTTTCTTGCGATCCGAGAATTATAATTAATTATACAGCAAGAATGATTCCAAGAAATGTGTCGCGCTGACTTGCAGTCATTGGATTACGAGGGAAACTTGTCGCGACCAACTAGTGGAGCAACTTTTCAACAACTTTTAATCAATAACACACCGTATTATCGGGAACGTGATTTTGTGATATCGAGGGATTCGACGCGGCATTATCTTTCGTTTACTTAGAGCCCGTATGCTTCGTTATCGCTCTCCGTTACTCTGTCGCTGATTAACGTTAGCATACATTCATGCCTTGCCGCTTTCCTCGTCGGCGCGTTTCCCGTCTGCGTTTGCGAATAATTGAATTACATAATTATCTCTCCAAACGCGCGCGCGCGCCGGCAATACTCCAGGGCCGCCTTCAATTAGTCGGCGCCACCCTTCATCTTTGCATCCACCTCGATCACGCTCCTGACTTCCGAAATGCGAAAGCGACGAATCCCGGTCTTCGTTTAAATTCTCTCACTTTCGGCGTCAAGCAAGAAGTGCGTGACGAGACAATCGACGACACGAACGATATTTGGATGTGTTTTTAATCAATAGGATATTTTACTGATACATATATTGTGAAATGTGTAGAATCTTTATTTTATTGAAATTTTACAATATCGTCAAATGAAAGTATTGATTGAATTGTTTTCTTCTCTGACTCCTCCGCCGGCAATATTGGAAAGACCCTATCCATGTTTTGATCATAAATTCTAGTAGATAAATTTAGATCTGTAAAAAAATACATAAAATACAGTCCGATCTCTATGATGGTAACAACTCGTTAAAACTTTGAAAAGTTACCAGAATTTTTTTCAAATTTTTATTAATTCAGAACAATAACAATAATTTGCTCCTTTTCTCGAAGGAAGCCTCCTCCTTTATTACTGACGGAGAAGTTAAAATTGCAGGTTGCCAGGAATTGCAGAGGAATAATTTTTTAATAAAATTAAATGAAAATTATTTATGAAATACAAGGGATGCACAACTCGAGAATTTATGCAAGAACTTTTGTTTAACTTATGCATTAATATAAAAAGTTCGTAAGTACGAGTTTATATTTTTGCTGTTGCTAAGCGAGTTCTCGCCGGTCACAAAGCTCACCGGGATAATTTTCGTACCACGGTTCAAGCTACAGCCCGCATTGGTATATTAGTACTCCTGTGCGTGTATGCGTGTGGGTGCCGTGTACGTCACGAGCAATTTACGCTTGCGTGTATGGGTGGGCGCGCGTGTGCGTGAGCAGTCAGTCGAGCATGGATGCGCCCGACTGTCTTGTGGGTCGATACGATGGTTATACCACTGCTGGGTCCTACGGTTATGCACACGTTCACCGTCATTATTTCACGTGGCACCGTCTGTTCCTCCTGTCTTGTCTCGTCTCGTTTTTCGCGTCCACGTTCGTCTCGCCGCACGGTTGACATATACTTGCTCGTGCACAAAGTATATGCACCGAAGTACCTACACGTTTACTTTATTTTTCCAGAATTAAATTCTTTATTTTAATGGTCTTTTCATTTACGGAAATTTGATCTTTATTCTTCGATATTTAAATAGTTACATAAATTTTAAAATTATACAAAGTCTATTAATGTTAAATTAAAATTAAACTAAATCTGTTTGGAATTAATTAAAAATAATATTTTACATTTTGTCTGCGTTTGTTGGTTGTAATATATATTTGCATTTAGAATTGTAGTAATTTTTCTTGAATGGATAATTTATGGAATCTCTGAGTGAGCAAGGAAGTAAACTTCATTCATAAGTCAGCTTTGCTTTAAATGACTGTTCCCTAGCACGTGGGCGATATAAAGAGCTTAGAGGAGCTCACACGGATTACCTTTGACTCAATCACGGAACCTTATCGTTGCTTGCGAAGCGTAGATATTTCTCGACGTAAAGAATCGGTTGTTTCGATCGAATATTCCCCCTGCATTCGCAAGCTGCTTGCAAGAAATAGGATTACAGTTCGAGTCGAAAATTGAGTATCACTAATCTTGTTGTTTGAAAAATAGATTTCGAAGCGTGACATTTATTTATGTTTCAACATTATTCGAGACACTATTACGAGTTACGTTACGTTTATAACAGCTGCAATGGTGTGTAAATAAATTTGTACATGCATGTAATAATTTACACGTAAAAGCGTACGATAAGATTGATTTTTAATTATCAGAATTAATTTTTTTTTACGTCGGTTTGTAATTTTTTTCTTTTTTTCTTCCCAAATTCTTCTCAAAATATGGTAATTACATTTATACGTCTTCGCGCATCCCAAAAAGACGGGAGGAAAAGGAATTTAATTGTCGGAGAAATCGAGAAAAGTATCAGATGGGTACTTTCGTATTCTGTCCGCGTAGCAACGTTGAATTTATCTAGGCGAGCGCGATACCTCGACGGGCGAGGTATATCGATCGACGGTTTGCCTTGCACAGCTGGGCAGCACGCGCTAGTCGACCGGCTGGCCGACCGGCGCTATGCGACAAAGTGACGCGTGTAAAATTATGCAAATTGCAGGTGCAGTTTTTTTTACACCCGTCGGCTTTATCGGCCTCGGATATTACGATGTGCCCGGAGCGTAGAATCGGTTAGGCGCGCGGCGTGTTTACTCGTCGCGCGCATCTTGCGAACTGCAACGCTCGCGCGTTAACGATGTCCGCTCCGCTTTGTGTTCCAGTACGGCAAACAGCTACGAGAGAATTACCGAGCCTTCAAGAACAAGCAGTGCGAGCAGAACGGCGGAGGCAGCCCCAAAGAGCAATACAGCAGCTACAATGTATCCAACGTAAGTGCTATGTATATATTTTCGAGTGAACGTACCAGACGTTCCTCTAAGAACAAGTTTTGAAGAACGACGAAAAGAAAACTAAGCATAATTGATAAATAACTAGTTTATCTTTACCGAATTATTTATTGTTCTATTTATTTTTATTTTGTTGATTGTATAAGGTGCTTAGGTTTTTCTATCACTCGCATAAATATTTTGACGTAACAAGAATTTTTGCCTAAATCGTTGACGGTTACTGTTAATTTTACCAATACAGCTAGGCTAATGGAATCAACATTATTTCGTTATGAAATGTGCCATGAATTATTAACGAATTTGGATTACATTTTTTAACTGTACCTTTTTATTATATATTTCCATAAGAAGCTGTGAATTAATTATTCACCCTTTTATCTCGTAAAATAATCACGCCACAGTAATCGCGGACTAAATCTCAAGAGAAAGAAAAGATCTATAGGAAGAGTCAACATACAGATGATTGCTACATGTGTAGGTAGATGGATAGAATCACGAGGTGTCTCCTGGCAAATTATTTCGTCATTGCGCGCGCGCGTGATGTATTTTCGACGGCCGCTCTCTCGCCTCGGATACGCTCGAAAGGTAAATTTCGCTTTAGACGCGGTAAATGGAATGGAAGAGGCGATTACGCTGAAATTACCTCGAGTGACAGTAATTTGCCGGGTCACGCCACGTTCGATCATTGCCTTCAGTTATCCCTTTTCCTGCACGAGCCGCCGTCTCTCGTCGAACTTTCATAGCGTCTACGGGATCTCGATTAGCTCGCGCGATCTCGCACTTTTCAACGCCTTTCTTCGATTAACATCTTCATCCCTTTGTTTCTTTGTTATTCAATTGATATTTTTGACGTGTATATATATATACATTGAAAAATAATTTACTAAATTTCACAACAATTATTTATTTGTAAATAATACCAACAAAATATTTATGACATATATTTATTTAGTATAAGAATTATTAATTTAAATATCTTTTTTTATGAAATAAATATATATTGACCAAGTAAATTTATTTAGTTAATATTATTCGAACAATTTATTTATTAAAATTTAGTGTTTTTTAATGCACGAAACTCTATCGTACATTATCTGGCTAAATTCAGTTACGCAAAATGTACCACATAATGCCTGTTGTGCTTTGCGATTTGTTCATTGAAATTATTATGCTGTTTACAGTTGAAATGAAGAAATTCATTTATTAATTTCTACGCATATTGTGGTAAATAACGTTCCCGTCGAGAAAACTATATTATTGTTCTCCACGGGTTGCGAGTGTTTATCAGCTCTCTCTCTAATTGATACACTGTAATATAAGGAAATTCATTGCAAATGAATGAATGAACGGGAATACGAGACTATGTATCGGCCAGCGTAACGATGCGGCGCACTGGATGCCGATACAGTTAGTGGCTGAATAATTATAGCAAATAGCTCGTTAACTATTGATCTTTAATGCGAAATTCCGTGCGAAATATGCGAAAATCGCTAGGGCAGCGCCCAGTCGGGATCTATTCGTTATGTGGTTGTGCATTCGTTACCTCGAGTGCACAGGTGCAATAGTTCTCTCTTTCGACTGGTTTTTCCCTTTCTCTCTCTCTCTCTCTCTTTTCTCTCCTTCTCTCGATGCATGCAATACGCCCTGTTTATACAATGGTTAAGCTACGGCAACGAATTACACTGCGACTAGGTAGTATCGTATATCGTGGATTTTATCGTGGCCAGTGCTACACTACGATAATAAATTCGCCAATCCACAATCAGCTCGTTTTTCGGACGCAATTCGTTGCGATTGCTCGCAATCGGTTGGCTGAAGACAAAACAAAAGCCATCGGTGATAAAATTAATTTTCCCGAGAAATATATTTGAACAGTTTGATTAATCAATTATTTTGTTTGATTCGTTAGTTGTTATGGCAATTAGATTTACATTTTTGTAATTTATATGTGAGAAATAATCTGAATGGAAATGTCAAAAACAAAAAACAGTTCTGCTTAATTAGTAGAATTAATAAACGAGTATGTTATTCATTTAGTTGCTGCGAAAAGAGATTGTTTTTGATAAAGAATTTTAAAATATATTATTGTTATTATATGCACTTTTTCAGACACCTCCATAATTGAATTTAAGCGAATAAATAATATATCGACTGCGCTTTACGTATTTGTTAAAAATATCACCAATATACCAATAAAGCGTAACAATAATGAGATAAATGTGTAAGAGAATCGATTACGTTAAAATTTAAAAGGGGAACTTTATCGGTTATTCTTTAGGATTCTCTTTATTAATAATTTTCGTGGATCTCGTTTAGTGAAATTAATAGCTTAACAGCGTGCTCATGCGATATTATTACCGTTAATTATTGAGTATCTGCTATTTATGTTCCATTCGAACTGAAGTGACAAATAAAATTGAAATAAAAACCTCGCGGGAGAGATTCATCATATGTTAATATGCTCTTCTTGAATGTGTAAATGAAATTAAAAGGAGAAGAGGAGGTGTTAAAAAGAACATTCGCATACCGTTTTTACGATTCGAAAAGCAAATTTTCCCGGAGAAATGCCATCGTAACTTAGGCAAGGAATGCCAAGAGGAATCCATCCCCATCGGATCTCAGTGACCTCATTGTCGTGCCATCCCCGACCTCGTCGAGATATAAGCTCTCTTTCTCTCCCCCCCCCCCTCTCTCTCTCTCACCTTCTCTCCTATCACGTTATTCTTCGGGTCCTCCTACGCGCTAAGACGTCGACGCGTCTCGGTAGGAAATTTCATCCTCGTATCGCACAGCTGATTCCAAGGTCGTTTCCGTGCCAGCCAACCAGTCAGAGGGACGACAACCCCTCGTCGTCAGTGTGTACTCTCAAAGCTAGACACGTACCAATCTACCCCCGTCCACCTTCTCGTCTCGACTGACTTATTTCTTCTTCCATCCCTCTTTTCCATCGTTATAAAGATAAAGGTGTAGTTCTTGTTTTCATTGCGATCGCCATTACTTGAGGAAGAATTTTACAAGTTGTTAAATCGCTTTATCAATGAACCACAAAAATTGCATCATTGCACGTTTCGAAAATGTGTTAGTAAAAAATGATTCAAGATAAATTTTATCACTAATTAAAATATGCTCAATTAAATTACAATATATAGACAAAGAATTTAATGTTAAGGTCAGAACAATGTGCGAACTTTTCGAAAAAAAAATTTAATTTTAAAGATAAAATTCTCCATTTAATATGCTGCCATGGACATTTTATCTCACACACAAATAAACTGAAATATTTTATATTATTACTTGAATTTTTACGTTTTTGAATAAAACTGCACGAGATTCTTTTTATAGCATCTATGACTTTACATTTTTCTTGTATCCACAATCTCGGCGATTTTTCGCCATAGTGGTTTTAATCTCTCTTGTGATAATTGTATGATGTAGTTTTTTTGTATACTCGTATAATTGTTACAATAACGAAGTATCCGCGAAATTTCTACAAGGAAGTTGATATCGATTAGTCGGAGCGGGTGTGTGAGATGCATTATCGAACCGCTTTGAAGAACTGGTTCTGAAGTAGCGATCTTAACGAGTTTCCGGCAATAAATTACTGTTCGTGCCAGTTATGAATTATCCACCGAAGGAGCACGGAGGATGACAATTAAAGTCCAGTATAGAAAATAACCGGTATTACACGCTTAATGCCAAAAAATGCGAGAGAAAAGATAGTTAAGCGTTGTTTTACAAAAGTGCCGTAATTGATAAAGGTGATCTGGCATGGTTTAACGATAATTTCACAGTATAATGACAGGAAATTACATCCTTTATAATGATATGTGGATTTATATAATTTTACTACTAAAATAATTATAAGCAAGAAACTAATTTCAAACTGCTAGTATTTCAAGATATATATTAATCTAGTTAACGATATTTCAAAATTTATATATGTAATTTCGATTTTTCTGATCGCATACGCTGATAGTAGAAAGCGGAAAAGAGAAGAAATGTAAAAATAACCATCCAGGAAGGCAGACTACGAGAAGCGCGTGGAAAGACGGAACTTCAACGATCCTCTCCGAAGTCTCATGCATTGTACATCCTTGCGAGGGGATCTGAGGGACGAAAGCGCAAACCTGTCTTGCACTTCGTTTCGGTTGAAAGCTTCGATCACGGATATCGTTCGTTCGTGTCTCGCTTTTATCTTTATTCCTAGAGAGATAGAAGTGTACTTCACGTCGCGACGATAACAAACCGACAGTGCGAGCTTCGCATTTTCTCTCTTCCGTGCTCTCTTCTGTTACATAGTGTACGAGATTGAACATTTAAATGGGTAGGACGAAGCTCCGAAGTAAAGGTTCACGTGAAAATTAGTCGAATCTAATCTGCTGAATTTCAAAAGATATCTGTGAAAAAGAGAAGGAAAATAGTAAAATTTCTTTTCGTTGCATTTTAAACAAAAATATATTTACAAGGATCTACGTGAGAATATGAATGTAAATAAAAAATTAATTTACGATATAAATTTTTATATTTAAATTTATTATGTATAATGTATTATTAAATTATTTTTTAAACACATTTTTAGAGCCATGAATATAAATTGATATATATACGCTAAATAAATTTCAATACATATTTCCGAAAAAAAAAATATATATATATATATACACATCGTTGAACATTTTATTTTATCTTCGATTTTAATTTTAATTACGTCGTTCAAATTGGAACTATTCGACAATGTCGACCATTATGCGTCGCTCTTATTCGCGATCATTACGTCATTTCAACGAATATCCACTTTGATCGCGTTTAACAAGCTGCTCGTAGTCGACGTGAAAGCGTAATCGCTCTGCTTTTAGTCAGACATCATATTTCCTTTAATGGTGTGACGGCTAACTTGGATACGGAAGTGTCGGTAACACCCAACAACATTCTTTCCGTTTCTCTGCTACGGGCAGGTTCGGCATTGTTACTCAACTGAAGAC